ACCCCCCCATCATCCACTCACACCCCAGATACACCCACTCACACCCCAGTATACCCACACTCACTCCAACCCAATTAAACCCAAACACTTACACCCCATCCAGATACACTCACACACTCCTCCTACCAAACACATCTGTGCTCTCAGACCCCCACCACACTCAGAAACACCTACTCTCTTACACATACACACAATCCAGATCCTCCTCCTCCTCTTAATCACCATCATCTAGAATACTCATAGTCCATACACACAATGCAGTTACACCCATATTCTCTCAATACACCCCCACACACCATCCATAGTACCCTCCAATTATATACACATTCACATACGCCCCCATCCTCACCAAGATGTGCCCAAATTCTCTCTCTAACACACATCCACCTTCTAGATATACTACATCATACACTTTTCCATTGCCTAGCTACACTTGTGCTCTCACCCACCTACACACCATCCAGGTATGCTCTCACTTGAATTTCCCATCCTGTTACACCCATACTCTCTCATACACATATTCTACCCAGAAATACCCACATCTTCTTACACATACAACACAGATATATCCACATACACATCATTCAGCTACTCCCACTCTCTCTTGCATCATCCAGATACATCCATCCTCACGTACCCCACAAATATACACATCCTTACACATGTTCCCACCCAGCCACACCCTATCTCTTAGTCATATAATACTCTACCCAAATAGGCTGATACTCTCATAGTACCTCACAAACACACCATTTATGTACATCCACACGCACACTCATCCTTCCCAAATAAAGGTTTCCCCTCTATCCAAAACTAGAGCATTCCTATGAAACCTTTTGTAAGCCAAAAATGGTGTAAAGTCAGAAGTACCTCCCACTTTCTGAAAGTTTGTGTTATGCCACTTTGCTTTTATGATAAAAGCTATTACCTTACTAAAATAGGTCTTGCATGAAAGGAAAATGGCTTAATGAGAACATTTGGAAAGCGGGGTATACCTGTATACTCAAATATCACACATATACACTCTAACCAGAAACCCCAAGGCTCTCTTACATACACACAATGCAAATACTTTCTCTCTTCCTCTCCTTCTGCCTCCCTGCTTTCCCCAGATATACTTTCACTTATACATACACATTCACATTCACATCTAGATTTCTACCTGGATGGCACAATTTGGGTGCTCTTTGTGAAAATCATTTATATAGACAAGTATATTCACACACATTCATGCATGAGTGTACTTACACATATAAATACCCAGGTGTGTACATGCTTGTCAATGAGATGATGTATTCATATACAAACATTCTAACACACATAGACTTATACACACAACTGAGCATATCCACATGTACACCTGTGAGCATATCCACATGCACACAAACTTGTACAGCATTCATTTCTCTATGTACACAATCAGACATGGAGACCTAAATATACTTAAAAAACACACAAAAATAACAGATGTGCACACCGTGTATGGTCCCACATGTTCATACATCCATATGAGAAGTATGTAAACAAAAGAAGATTCATTTACACTTTTCCAGATAGACTTGGACACAAAGGTATGTCCACACACTTGCACACAGGGAAGAACAATCACATATTCACACATACTTGTACATCTGCAAAAGAAGAATTGGTGACACTCATCACGACACACACATGCTAAGTCGTCCTCATACACACAAACACACTTATAGGCCAATAGTGACATGGACACACATTCATTTACACTGTTCCAAAACATATATTCTAGAACAAATGATGGTATATAAGCACAACACACATATGCAAATAGAACTGTGAAAACTGGTACATTCACATATTTGTACATTCAGCTAGGTACACACACAGGCATATTCACACACATGCATATACTTAGATGTGTATGGACACAGGAAACGTGCATGGACACAGAAAATATTTAATGTACAAAATATTCACTCAAATGCACACACAGCCACATGCTCACACGTACTAACATAGACACATATATACAGTCAGTCACATATCCACATTTACACTTAGAAAGTCAAACAAAACATGAGACATGTGCACTCAAGTGTTATGAAATGTAGTTATTCAAGCATACCACAATCAGACATGCATTCTCACATAACAGCGTACCCACAAACAATGAGACATATATACAAATTCATCTATTCACCTTGCACACAGTCTTTTGTGCATATACATACAGGTGTACACCTCCCCCAGCCCTACCCACACATATATATAGTCAAATGTGCACAAACAAAATATATTTCCATGCACAAAACATGTATTCACACACTCTCCCTTACCCACACAATTAGCTCTCATTATACTAATGTGGCCATCTACACTAACATCTCCCCAATCAGATGTAAACCCATAGAGCTGTCTACAAACAAAATGTACTAAAGCATGCCCATAGACATATATACAATTAAAAATATTGGAGAATCCACATGGATATTCACATACATACATATGAGGCCTACTCATACATATACATGGCAGACACACCCATATAGAAGCACACACATATCCAACCATACATGCATGGACATATACACATGCCTTACACTCACAAACATACCATTTAGATGCACCTACACACATATGCACACATGGGCACATACAGATAAACACAATCAGATACAACTAGGCATTCACCTGTTTGGACATGTAGTCCCAGGCATTCTGAAACCCTCACACTCACACACGCACACTCAAAGACAAATTGATGCCACACACATACAACCAGACATTCAACAGGCTTATTGACTCAGAGCAACACGCCCTCATCCAGACTCAGAATGAAACATGCCCATTTGCTTACCCAGACAGACATGCAAAGTCATACCCATTCCCCTATACACACACACACAAGCCTACCCAAACATGCACACAATTGCACACACCTTCACGTGGCCTGCTCACAGATACAGACTCATACACATTCACAGTGCTCATGAATAGACACACAAACACTAACAGACTGCACACAGCCATATTTTCAGTTGCACATACACACCCACACTGAGGGCCAGATGCCTCTGGACCGCAAGCTGGGTCCTTTCCCTTCTGCACCAAATGCATCTTCAGAAAAGTCTACTCTAGACCTCAAAGCCCCACCCTTCCCTGCCCCCACCTAGGGCATTTTCTGGGCCTCAGGCTTTCCCATCCTCCTCCTCCCCAGCCTTGAGGACCCTTCTCCAGCCACCACCCAGTGTTCCCCCACATCTCCACACCCAGAAAACCAGCCAGAAGATCCCACTGTTTCCCCAGCCCAGGCTCTAGGTTAGCAACTCTCTGGGTCTCATCCCCCACAGGTCTGACTGCTGCATGGGCCACACCCCAGCTCTACCCAAAGCCCTGAGATCTCAGAAGCTTCAGCCTTGTCTATAGGCCATGCCAACCACTGACCACAGGCCAAACTCTTGCCAAGTCTCCCCTCAACAGGGAGACGCATACATCACCAGGGCCAGGAATGCTGCAGGCTGCAAGCCAGGCCTCTGCTAGATCATAGCGGGGAGGGGGCAGCTCAAGCCTGTGTGTGTGTGTGTGTGTGTGTGTGTGTGTGTGTTTATGCAAAGACAGGGGACAGGGCATGTGCAAGAAAAAAGGAACCTGGAATGGGGTGGGGACAGGAGGCAAAAAGCTTTGCCCACAGCCACCACTGATCACTCCCTACAAATGAGGAGCTATAACAAGCTGATCTGCCTCCACTCTACTACTCCCCATATGCCTACCTGCTGCCCTCTCCAGATCTCTACCAAGACCCTGGAGAAGAGGTGTCAGTGTCTCCCCTGAACAATCAATAACAACAGTAATCATGAATAATCAGCAACAGTATTGACTATGAGCTTTGCTGGCAATGTTTCAGAGCCACTTCTATACACATCTTTTCTTTCCATGCACCAACTCAGTTAGTCACTGCACACACCCATGATGGAAGGATTACCAGTCTCATTGTCAGATGGGAAAGCTGGGGTTTAATAAGGGGTGCGCTTTCACTAAAGTTGCAGTTTGGGGAAGTGCCCCCTGGAGAATCCATACTCTCCATGTACCAGGCTTTCTTGCCCCTCCAGACATAGAGAACACTGGTCACCATGCACAAGGCTATCAGATCTTGGGGTCCCAGACACAACATGCATGTCTGAAACAAAGACAGACAGCCTTGTGATGGAGGCTGGGGTCCGCCCTGTGGGGACAACCACCCTGTGTCTGGCCCCTGCAGGTGGATGTGTGGTGTGGTCCTTGTGCCCACAGAGCCATCAGACAGCCTAGGGCCTGGAAATGCTCCCCACCCCCACCTCACCTTCCTTTTAGCCCTACAGTGTGGCTTCCTCCCCCTATCTTGGGAATCGCAGCAATATTTTCGGTAGTGAGTGAGCAAAAGTCTACTACCTGTGGGGAGAAACAGGGGGGAAAGGGAAGGAAGGAATGGACGGAGGGAGAGAAGTAGAAAAGGAGTGGGGGGTGATCTAGGCTGGGAGCAGCTTCTCTATCATGTCTACCCACTTGCCTGCTCACACAGACACACACCCTGCATGCAGGCCACGGAAGCTGGAGGAGAGTAGAAGAGGAGGGAGAGGGAGAGGCAGCAGCTGCAGGAGGCTGAGCTGCTCAGGGTGCAGGCATTGTGAGGAAAGCACCACCGGCTCCCAGGCATGCCTTCCACAGCTAGCACACAAGGAAATGTTAGCACAGCTTCTTGTCCGAATGCGACCATGATGATAATGGACCCCGTGCGGGGGAAACAGGTGGTGGTACCCTTTCTCATGGGACATTTGGGATTGGGAAAGATGAGGATGGCTAGAGGAATCTCCAGGCTTGGGTGTCCAAGTAGCCCTTATGATGGAGCAGAAAGATAGAGAGAGAGAGAGACTAGAGACAGAGAGAGAGACAGAGAGCATGCAGTGATGGAGACTCCGAAATCTGTGTGGGGAGACAGAAGAGAAGACCCAGCCCCCATCCTTGGTGGAAGGATGCTGACTACTTACCTGGGCTCCTCTCAGCAGGGCTGTCTTGGAATCCAGGGAGGGAGCTCAAGCTGTCTCGCCCAGGATAAATCACATCCCAGGCCACATTGTGGGACCCTCCGTGATCTGGCGGCCACTGACACTCCTGCTTCTGTTGCCGTGGATACAGCTGGGCTGGTCTAAATCGCAGACATCAGGGGAAGCAGGCACCGGCGGGGTGCACTGAGCAGGGCTGGGGGTGTTGGGGAACACCAGGTGGGCAACACACAGCCTTGGGGTGCCCAGCTAGCTGGCAGGTGGGGGTCCGGGCAGGTGCTTCCCCCACTGCACACTCCCACCCCCATCTTCATGCCACCGCCAAGCTGGGAGGGGGCCAGCGCTGGCCCCTGCTGCCCGTCTGCCCGTCTGGCTGCCGGTCCCTCCGCCCCCCCCCAACCCCCCCTGTCTGCCTGCTGGCCGCCGCCTTTTGTCCTCAGAAGACACAGTCCCCGCGGAGCCTCTGCCAAGCCTCTAGCAGATGCTCAGGGTCCGGGGCTCCTCCCTGGGAGCACTTGGGCCATGGCCTGGGAGAGCCCCAGGTTGAGGGGGCTCTCATCCAGGTTCCCCCTGCTCCCTGGGCCTGGCGGGGATGGGGAAGAGGTGCAGGTCCACAGCCAGAGGCAGCAGCAAAGGTGGTGTTGGGGAGGGGATGGACGCCAGAAAGGGGGTTGGGGTGGAGAGAGAGGCTGGCCTGAGAGCTGTGTCCCGGGTTTCAGATCCGGGTTGAGGAGGGTGGCTCAGAGCATCCGAGGGGGGGTCCTGATGCAAAACGGGGGCACCACGGGCCTGCCGGAGGGACCCTCCAGGTCCGGGAACCACCGCGGCGCCCACAAATCCAGGTTCTAGGATTCCGGGACACTCAGCCTGAATAGAGCATCAACCGGGAGCCCAGGGCCCTCAGCTGGACCCCATTCTGGCTGTCCGTCCCCCCTCTCCTCGATTTGCAAGGTCCCTACCTCAGGGGCGGGCGGAGTAGGGAGGAGGGAGGGAGGCAAGGAGAGAGAAGGAGGGAAGGAGGGAGGCTGAGCCGACAGGGAGACTCCCAGCCGCCAGCCTGGTCCTCCCTGGGGCGGGGCGGGGAGTGGGGGGGGGGGGGGCTGGGGAGGCCGGGAGCAGCCTGCTGGCTGGCTGGCCGACTGGGTGGGGATGCTGGCGTGGTGGCTGTGCTGCCAGGACAATAGCTGGCTGGGGAAGTCAGACTGGGCTTTTCTGAGATGCTCGAGAGAGGCATGCGTGGAGGTGGGGAGAGGTACCTAAGAGGCTGATGAGAGAGGAACTGAGGAACTCTCTCGGGCCTACAAGTGCAGAGGAGACAGGGGTGGGGTTCTGGGGTTGGGGTGTGGAAGTTTTCCAAAGGCGTGGGGATGGGAGGGATGCTGAGAGCTCTGAGAGGTGGGGTGGGTAACCTTATTTAGAATGGGTTCTATGGGCATTTTCCCAGCCAAGACCTGCAGGTGGGCTGGGGGTGGGGGTGGGGTGGGGTGGGCAGGGCAGGGAATGCTGCCCAGCTCTGTACAACCCCTCTCAGGAAATCTCCGGTGCCACCCTTACCTTCTTGGCACCCGTACCTAAGTCCATGCTCCAGGACAGCAGAACGGGGCAGGTGAAGAGACAGCCTGGTAGGCAGAGATTTGAAGACAAGGAAAATATTTCCGACCTGAATGGACTAAATTGGGACCAAATGATGCCACAGTGGATCCCCTAATAGCTTTCAAGAATCCCAATTCTCTCAATATAAGCAATTTTACTTCCTTTCTCCCCCCACCCATTGGTTCACCCACTTTTTAAACATGCTTTATGCTAGGCTCCAAGGTGGTTACTGACAAACAGAAACCCTGCTTTGCTACCCAACTGTGGTCCTGCAGCCCAACTGCATCTAAATCCCTTGGAGGTCCCCAGGCCTACCTCCTAGAGGTACTCATCTAGCAGGTTTGGGATAAAACCCTATTTTGACAAGGTCCTCAGGTAGTAGCGTTTATGCCCACTGAAGTTTGGACACCATACTTGGAGGAGGGGGGAAACCAATGAGTCCAAGATAAATTCACAATGGAAATTAACATTTATTTTGAATTGGCAGTTAATCAAAATATTATGTCTGAAAGCCTGTGGATACTCCTCCGGCTGTGCTTAGAGAGACATTTATAGGCTTATACTTATATATTATTATTTAAAAATATATATGTTTTTATCGATTTTTAGATAGAGAGTAAGGGAGAGGGAGAGATAGAAATATCGATGAGAGCCGAAGCCGGTTTGGCTCAGTGGTAGAGCGTCAGTCTGCGGACTGAAGGGTCCCAGGTTCGATTCCGGTCAAGGGCATGTACATTGGTTGCGGGCACATCCCCAGTAGGGAGTGTGCAAGAGGCACCTGGTCGATGTTTCTCTCTCATCGATGTTTCTAGCTCTCTATTTCTCTCTCCCTTCCTCTCTGTAAAAAATCAATAAAATATATTTAAAAAAAAAAAAAGAAGAAGAAGAAGAAATATCTATGAGAGAGAATTAGTGATTGGTTGCCTCACGCACGCCCTCTATTGGGGATTGAGCCTGCAACCCAGTCATGTACCCTGACCAGGAATCAAACTGAGAACCTTTCGGTGCATGGGACGATGTTCAAGCCACACTGGCTGGGCTCTACATTATTTTTTATATGAAAATCCATCTCAAGAAGTTAGAAACAACAAATTAAACTTAAAAAAAGTAGAGGAGAAAAAATATCAGAGATAAGAACAGAAATCAATGAAACAGAAAAACAGAACTATAGCAGAGAGACTCAGCAAAGCTAAATGTTTTTCTTTGAAAAAAGAAAAAAAGAAAAAAAAGATAAATGCCTGAGACTGATCCAGAAAAAAAAATATGTAGAAAGCACATAACTAGTATGAGAAACACTACAGGGATACTGCGATACAGGTCACAGATACATTAAAATACATGAAGACAGTATTAAGAAAAACTTTATACCTTCCATTTTGAAAATTTTGATAAAATGGCCGAAACCTGTTTGGCTCAGTGGATAGAGCGTCGGTCTGTGGACTGAAAGGTCCCGGGTTCGATTCCGGTCAAGGGCATGTACATTGGTTGTGGGCACATCTCCGGTGGGGGGTGTGCAAGAGGCAGCTGGTCGGTGTTTCTCTCTCATGGACATTTCTAGCTCTCTATCTCTCTCCCTTCCTCTCTGTAAAAAATCAATAAAATATATATATTTTAAATTTTTTTGATAAAATGGGGGAAATGCAATTCACTAAAACATAAGAAAAAAAATCAGAACAGTCCTATAACTATTAAGTTATTATTGAATTTATATTAAAAAGTTTTCCACAAAGAAACATCCAGAGGCTGTCAATGGTGCACTCTACAAAATATTTAAAGAAAAAGATAACACCAATTTTCTAATTTTGCACAAAATTTTCCAGGGAGTTGGAGAAAAATTATGCGATCAACAGGTGCAAAAAACGCATCATGACAAAAAAAATTAGCAAACTTAAACTTGCAATAAATATATGGGAAAGTCCTTAATGTAACATACATTATCTACAAAAAAAACCCCTATAGCAAATATCATATTTAGTGGGTAAATGTTGAATGCTTTTCATTTAAGATTGGAAATGAGGCCAGGATGCCCACTATAATGACTTTTATTTAAATTATACTAGAAGTCCTGGCTAGTGCACTAAAGCAAGAAAAATAACTTAAAGATATGATGATTAGAAAGGAAGATATAAACATTCAACTTCATTTGTAGGCAATGAAATATGATATAAAATCACACTCACTAGAGTGACTAAAAAGGAAAAGATAATGCTGAATGTGGGTGAGAATGTGGAGTGGTTGGAACTCTCATACAATGCTGATGAGATTATAAATTTTAAAAATATATATTTTATTGGTTTTTTTACAGAGAGGAAGAGAGAGGGATAGAGAGCCAGAAACAACGATGAAAGAGAATCATCGATCAGCCGCCTCCTGCACACTCCCTACTGGGGATGTGCCTGCAACCAAGGTACATGCCCTTGACAGGAATCAAACCTGGGACCCTTCAGTCCTCAGACCGACGCTCTATCCACTGAGCAAAACCGGCTTCGGCGAGATTATAAATTGATATAACCTTTTTTTTTTTAATATGTTTTATTGATTTTTCTTACAGAGAGGAAGGGAGAGAGATAGAGAGCTAGAAATGTCCATGAGAGAGAAACATTGACCAGCTGCCTCTTGCACATCCCCTACCGGGGATATGCCCGCAACCAATGTACATGCCCTTGACCGGAATCGAACCTGGGACCTTTTAGTCCGCAGGCTGACGCTTTACCACTGAGCCAAACCGGTTTCGGCTGATATAACCTTTTGGGAGCTGTTCAGCTATATCTACAAAAGGTGACCATATATACGCCTCATAACCCAGCAGTCCTACTCCTAGGTATATGCCCAACAGAAAGCTATGCCTATCAAAACATATGCAATAATGTTCATAAAAGCATTGTTTGTAATAGTCCAAACTGGAAATGACCCAAATGCTATCAACAGAAGAATGCTAAATAAGTTTTGGTATAGTTACATAGTGGAATACTAAACATTGACTAGGAGAAATGCCTCACAACCACATACAACCATAAGGATGAATTCCATAAATATTGTACTGAGCAAGATAAACCAGACACAGAAGAGCACATACTATATATTTCCACTGAGGTAAATTTCTAGACCAGGTAAAACTAATCTAGGGTGATACACATCAGAATTGTCATTGGGGTCTGAGTAGAAGGTCTAAGAGACTTTCCAGAATGCCGGAAATGTTCTGTTTCTTGATTTTTGAAAATTTTGATAAAATGGGGAGAATGTAATTCACTAAAACATAAGAAAATTTAAATCAGAACGGTCCTATAACTATTAAGTTGTTGAATTTATAATTAAAAAGTTTTCCACAAGGAAACCACTAGAGCAGCGGTGCTTAATCTGTGGGTCGCAACCCCTTCAGGGGTCAAATGACCCTTTCAAAAGGGTTGCCTAAGACATCCTGCATATCAGATCTTTACATTATGATGCATAACAATAGCAAAATGACAGTTATGAAGTAGCATCCAAAATAATTTTATGGTTGGGGGTCACCACAACGTGAGGAACTGTATTAAAGGGTTGCGGCATTAGGAAGGCTGAGAACCACTGGGCTAGAGGCTGTCAATGGTGCATTCTACAAAATATTTAAAGAAAAAGATAACACTGATTTTCTAATTTTGCACAAAAATTTCCAGGGAGTTGGAGGAAAATGATGCTATCATTTCAACAGGTGGTTACTTAGTAACAATTCATTGAGAGCTGTGCGCTTAGGCCTGGTGTACTTTTCTTTGTGTGTATTATACTGCAAGAAAAAAAATGTTTTAATGAAAATGTCAAATAAGTAAATTGTTTCATCCTAACGGGAGGCAAAAGTGGCAACTGGGAGCTGTGGGAGCTTAGGGATTCAGGGGCCATGTGGGCAGAGGTAGGGGGAAGTGGGAGGGAATTGCAAGATGTTTAAGAGGCAATGCAGTGTAATGGTTAAGAACATGGACTCTGGCTCCAGGTTGCTTTGGTTTTTAATCCATCCCTCTTCCTCTCCTTTCCACTCAAGTTCCTTCTCTATTAAATGAGGTCATAATAGTGCTTACAGTAGAGAGCTGTGAGGATATATGAGGTAATCTTTGTAAAGTGTTCATAATAATGTCAAGCCATATAATGAGTACCAGGCACATCTTGATTAAATAAAAATGATGCCTACGTGAGTGAAACAGCTCATACAAAAGCTTGGGGGTGGGGTGAGGGTTCCAGAAAGCCAGATGTTTCTGGCAATTTGTTGTGGCCTGAGGGAGGCACGCTCCTCCGGTGCAGGCCAGACCCTAAATGACAGGCTCAGGATCTCAGGCTATTTTTCTATAGTTGAGACTCCTGTTATTCTTGGTTTACCCT